CTCCAGCGTTACTGGTCCCTGCGGCCGCTGCCGACCTGCCGCTAAAGGAGACGTTGTCGCACAGAAGGGGAGGAAAAAAAAAATCCAAAAACGATTTTAAGTGCAATACCTGAGTGAGAAAAAAAAAAAAAAAACAGGATGAAAGTTGCTTCGAAGTGTTTTAAATCCTATTCTCACCTGACGAGGCCAGCAAACGTCCCCCGTCTCCCTGCCTGCCGCCTGCCTGTGAGTCACACGCCTGCCCTCAATTTTACATCCCTCTGCAGGATCAGCCCCCCTCTCATAGCACAAAAGCTCAGCTGGGGGCAAAAAAAAAAATTCAGCTGCTCTGAAAAGAAAATGTAAGTATGGCTATTTGCTGTGCTGCTGGTGGGGTTTTGTTTTTTTTGGTGTCGTTTAAAGTAGTTGACAGGGGTGGCTATGCGTTGCTGCACAGGCAACGGAGGGCCTGTCTCTGCCTCTTAGACGTGCAGGACAGATGGGCTACAGTCACCGGCATGTCTTTCTTGCGTTTACTGCAAACTTCCCGTTAACACTATTTCGGAAAGGAGGTGGGTTTTTGCAGGCTGTGCACACCAGCTGATGCTTCCTGCATCAGGCTGAACAGAAAAAAAATGAGTCTACTGAAAAAAAAAAACCCTAGCAAACTGTCAAAAATCCAGATTCTGGGACGGAGATGCAGAGCGCCGCGGGGAGGCCGGGGTTTGCCGCCCCCGGCCGGCGGCCCCCGTGCTGCCCGCCGAGGAGGCCACGATCGAGCTGCTCAGGCGGCGGCGCCAGGACACGGAAGGGCTTTCGGTTTTGTCCTTGCCCACGTTAGGGTTTTCCACCCTGGCCTCGCTCTCTTGTGCGCGTGTTATAAAGCTGCGGCCAGGTGCAGGTGAGCGGAGACGCTCAGGGCTTGGGGGATCAGCACATCCAAAGGTTTGTCGCAGCGTTTCAGCTGTTGGAGGTGTACAGGGAGGGCTATTTTGGGGGCATTATCCTTACTAGTAAACCTACGTTTATTCTCTACCTTGCCACTTGCATGCTGGCTACAGGCAGCATCGGTAATCGGGTCAGCCTGGGTACAAACCAGTTGTTTCTCAGCCTATAAACCAGTGTTTGGTCCACGTCTGTGTTATTTTTCTTTCAGCCTTGCGGTCTTGATCCATCCCCCTTTATTCCACTCCTCTATTCAGAGCGCATTTAATAAAACGCCGTGCCCATAGCAGGTGCACTTCCTACTCCGTATACAGCACTCTTCAAGCTATATTCAACTTAAAGCTTCAACGCATTCAGTGACACCCCCAGAAAGAGTTGTCTTTTAACAGGATTCATTTGTTTCTCATACAAGTGTAACTCTGTCTGAGACACTGATTAGGTGAGATTTCAGGAAAAATCCATCAGAAATGTTTATGTAGGCTACAGGCGATGAGCGCAAGGGCAGAAGGAAGGAAAGAGCTCAGGGCAGCGATGAGAGCATCCCACGGCCTCCTCCTTGGATCTGTTCCTAGGCCTTTTGGGGTAAGTCACTCGGCATGTTTGTGCCTCATTGAACCTAACCTCATTACAAGATTGGTAACGCATTTCAGGGCTGTATAAATCACATGGAACGCTATCACCTTTAACACAAGTGTTATGAAGCTTTAATAATTAGCATCATCTAAACTGCTATCCCAAACGTGACCTTTTAAATCCGATTGATTGCTGTGGCCAGAGTCATTTTTCATACGGCAAACAGCCTGTTCCTCAGGCAGCGCACCCCGTCCGCCGCGGTGCTCACGTGGCCCTAGGCGGGTGCCCGGGGGGAGCTCGTCCTGCCTGGGGGCACCCTGCACCCGACCCTTAGCCCCCGCAGAAGATGAGGAAACATAACTTAGGTTCCCAGCCCTCCCTGTTGGATTCATTTCAGCATTAACAGAAAACGGTAACAGTGAGAGCGAACGTGTAAGGCCAGCACCTGCTCGAGGTTTTCTTCGTGGCAAGGTCC